AAAAATTTAATGGAGATCGAATTTTGATGGAGACAAATATTTGAAATTTTGATCATTCATAAACCTTCCCTGGGGTCCCGAGATGTCCCACTAAAAATTTGGGCCCGATCGATTCAGTCGTTTTGACGTTTATTAGATACAAACAGACAGACAGACAAACAAACAAACAAACAGACACCCAAGCCAAATTTATATATAGATTGATTATTGAGTATAACTTTTTCTACCATCCGGCATCCATCCATATATTGTTAGTGTTACTAACTGGTGTTGTATTTACATATGTAAGACTTTAATGTAATTATGGTACCAATTGTTCCGAAAACCGTAAATTTCCGGAAAATTTCTGGAACAATATCCCGGAACGTTCCGGATATTTCCGGAACGTTCCGGAATTCCGTAACGATCCGTAATTCCGGAACAACGTTCTGGAAATTTCCGTTTTACGGAAAAAAATCGTTCCAGAAATCATTCCAGAATTCCGGTTTTCCGGAACTTTTTCCATAATGGAAATGGAAAAAATTTCCGGATCATTTCAATTTAATTTAAAACAAACCATTCAGATATTATAAACTACTTATTATCTAATTTAATTGGAGGCATTCATATAAAGTAGATATTTCATAATATTTCATTTAAAAAATTATATTTTTGGTCGCTAGGTGTCACCTATAGGTGTGGCTAGGGAAAGATTTCCAAGTGGAACCCCTGAATTATCAAGAGCAGAGACACCTAGCGACCAAATTATTGTCAGTTAAAGTGGATTGTATTCTGAAACAAATAAAAACATTATTATATATTAACTATTTACAAATGATTATTATAGGTTGTAATAAATGAATGATTAATTTCAAATACAATTGAATTATTTACAATCCCCATTGAATTTGATTACACATTAGCATAAACCCCCTTAAATTTTACGCAAACACTTCCTTTAAGCAAAAAACAAGAATATAAAATGAGCAGAAAAAAAAACCATTTTGTCTTTTGAATCTTAAATATAAAATTTTATCTCTTGATTAATGGGACTTACTTGCAAGGCTTAACTGGCCAAACTTGAAATATTCAGAAGGAATTACTTCAGTAAGAAGAAGGCCAAATAGTTCAAGCCGCATTTCTACTATTTGTGTAACAGAGGATATTTGGAATTGTATTCTAGAAAGATAAAAATAGATACACCCTTTTAATTGTAATAACATTATTTATTATTATTTTCATTACCTGTCTACTACAATTGGATGTTTTATGCGAATATTTTTCTTCACTGGATCATCAGCATCATTTGTAGAGGCAATAATTGTTCTATATGACCAAAGTTCATAATACATCAAGTCAGGTTTATTTTTTGCCATTATTGGCACACGTATTCCAAAGTTTCTAATATACTTGTTCTTTTTCATTGTTATAAATATTGAGTTGAGAACAATACTCTCATTAAGTCTAATCTCAAACCATTTCCCTACCCATGAGCCCCTGAAAAAAGTTGTTATCAGTAGTGATAGTTCTTAAAAGATTAATAGAACAAACTAGATTTTAAAAGATTAAGGCACATACTTCAGCATCTCGAATCTAAACGGTATTCCCAACTCCTCTGGCAGTATAGATGGATCTTCCTCAAGATACTCTACCCCAGCATCAAAAAACTTGTAGGCTACATGTTTGGATCCAAGAAGTTTCTTATTTCCAAAACCATCCACTAAACAATAATTTTTTAAATACAAGAAGGGGAGCATTAAATCTGTTAAGAGAATCCTGTTTAAGCTTCAGCCTAAAATCTTTTAATGCATAACAACTCCTGAAAAAGCTACCTATTGGTTTCTCACAAATGAGTTGTCCAACACCATTAGCAATCACTGTCATTGTAGATGTAGCAGATGAATACAAAGTGCTTGTAATAGTTTTTGTAGAATCCACATAATCTGCATATAGATAAACTGGTATAGGGTCTACTGGCCTGCTACCTCCCAACCACTCCACTGATCCACCTGTAGATTAAATAGTCAATTTTTCAATGGAAACTATAAATATCGGGTTTTGATTAACACATATAGCACAAAAATTTGATTAAAAAGATATTAAAAAATTCTGCCTGACCAAAAACCTGTTGTAAGCCAGCTTGCATATTCCAAAGCAAGATATGACAAAATAATTTTGTTTGTTTTAAAATTTAACTCTTTAGTGGAAACTGACAAACAAGAATAATAAGCATTTATTGTATGCAAATCAAAACTGAAAATGTCTTCTACATCTACTTACTGTATAATGGAAAGAAGCTAACAAACACAGAACTATCTAGATGTGTGGTTAGTCCACTTGTTGATGTTAGTATTCCAAGATGGTACAAGAAATTGTCACTCCTAAAAAAAGAGATTTAAAGCATAAATGAAGTGCTTCTTATTCTCCAATGTGAGGATCTTGTCAAGGAAAAAGGCCCTGATGCTCATGTAGATGTTAGGGATTGGGAGTTTTTATCTAGATGATTTATTAAGTACAACATAATAATTTTCTACGTAAATGATAATGATAAATTCTTACTTGATGAGTGAAGAAACAACCTCTGCTTCTCCTAAATACCTTGGAGCCCAAACATCAGCTTCATCTGAGTAACATTTTCCAGCAAGTGTCATTTTTCCTGATCCAACATCCTTATAACAACGATTGCCATGTCTGAGAAATCCTTCTTCACAATCTAAATTCCCAAATACTTTTAAGAACTGAGACAATTATTTATTTTCAAACATTTGCTAACTAGCTAAACTAGCTTAAAAAATTTGGCTTTCTGATTTAATTGATTCTGCAAAATATGTGTACATAATACAAACAAACCTGCTGTGTAAAGAGAAACAGAATCAATTCCTCCACACGTTAATGATGGATAGTCTGAGCATGGCATACTGCATTTACCAGATGGAAGTTCAGTGAATTGATCATGATCTATTTGAGGTATACAGCTGCACTGAATTCCATTCATCATCATTGCAAATCGCATTTGGTTGGTTTTGCAGTGAACAAGACACTCCTGAATGGATGTCAACTGGACTTCTTGTTCTCCAGATTTCATCTGATAGCATCCAATATTGATTGGTTGTTCTACAACAAGCTCTAAAGGAGAGAACATAACTGTCCCACCAGATGTTGCATCTGCCTTTACTAAATATGAATTTTAAAAATGAAATTTTACAATCCAGTAATTAGAAAATGTGTATTAAACAATTGAGATGAAATATTTTAATACAACCTTCCACAGTTAATGGTAGTTTCGGGAGTGGAGCTAAAGGAACAATAACAGGAATACTCTCTGTCTTTAAACTTCTTGCCACTGACAAAGATTTAGTAAATGTTACTGATGAAGCATCTGTCACAGATGCTGTTACAGTTGCTGAAGCAGGAGCGGTATCAGGACTCATAAATCTGTATGTGCAAGAAGATTTTTAAAGTTAGAAGTAATTTAAGATGTCATTTCTTGTAAAAATTTACCTGACCCAGACTTTCAAAAAACCATTTGGTTTAAATGCCTCAATAAATTCAGCAGTGAATTCTGTTTCTGCCAGAGTAATTTTTTTCTTGATTTCATAAGAAAAGACTCCATTGCAAGTTCCAGCATACTCCATATCATAACCATCCATTGAACCGCCTAGCCCTGTAAGCTCTAAAATAAAACAGTGAGGCCTATTTTTGTTCTAAAATAAAGAGTAATATTAAATTCATATTGTTGATAGATTTTTACAGTTTTAGTGAATTCCCATTCACCTACAAAAGTGATGTTTATTTTTGTAGGGAATATCAGGACTTACAAAAGAACTTAACAGAACTAATAGAATTATATAGAAATAGAAATTGCAACTGTTGGGCAAAATTATCAATAAAAAAGGACAACTATATTTAAATTTAATTTTTAATTAGCTTTTTTTCAAATTATAAGTTTTCAAGTAACTAAAGAGAAGCTTTTAAATTGGCATCTTCTATTTGTTTCCATTTTTTATGCATACATTCTGCTTAAAAGCTTGATATAAATCGAAATTGAAATAGAAAGTTGTCATCATTCTATATAATTGCCTACCACCACACCATGAATTCTGTTAGATCAATTACTTTAAGTTTAGAATGTCAAAGATTTATACCAACATTTTAGGGATTATATATAGGATTACAAAATTTTAGTTTAAGACAGGCTCAATTTCTTTGAAATCAGTTTTTACCTTTTTCTCCTTCACATATTGCAGGTAATTTCCAGCTGCAGGGTAAATCATTGATGGTGTGGGTGAAGAGTTCATAAGCTATGCAATTATGCCCAGGACGACTATATTGTTTTTCCCATGAACCAAGGTTGGCAAACGGTGTTTTGTCTCCTCCATTGTTTGGTTGACCTACCAAAACGACAATGATGAATGGGGGTAAATCATATTAGAGAGGGTGGGGGGGGGATAAAAATTTAAGAAAATATGTCCCCCTGCAGGCATAATAAATACCGTTTCTTGTTGTTTTAACAGCTGTAATATGTTAATGTGAAGGGTTACCTGGAAACCACTTAGCAAAGGAAAAGGCAGGCATGGGATGATGGTTACTGCTGACATGGGAAAAACTATTTTCAGAAAATAAGTCATTGGCAGCAGTCCACCAGTACTTGTAGGGTTTGTTGAAATCTGAATATGAAAAAGTCTAAAAAAGTTGCTAGCAAAATATATAGTCAAAATTTACATCAATTTTTAACAGTATATTTAATGCTTACGAGGTGTGTCACATTCTCCATAGTGCCAAGTTTCTATGTTAGTTCTGGTGAGGCTATCATAGCTACAACCTTCACTGTATGGTGGGAGAACTGTACTTTTGATGAAGTCATGTTTAGCCTGTGATGTGATTGAAACGGCAGTGGAGTGCCGAAGATATCTGTTTGAAAACAAATCTGTTGTCGACTTCTAAATTTTTTGGTAAACTAAATTTTCACATTTTGAAATGTTAACGCTTAATGTAGAAATTAAGTGTAAGCTCTCTTAGTATCTCTTGCAACTAGGGTTTCCAGCAAAAAGGAAAAATCAACTTTTGCAAATATTTTGTAATTTTTGCGACTATTTTCCTTCATTTTAACATTTTGTTTGCTTGCAAAAGCTATGCTAAGATTTTCGCTTTTTTCGCGAAATTGCTTGAATCTGTTTCATGAAAAAATGCAAAAATCTCACAAAAAAATGCGAAAATTTTGCAAAAAATAATGCGAAAATTATTTAAATGACATAAGAAAACTTTAAATATATCAGAGCAAAGAAATCCACAAGAATTGTTGCAGCAATTAAATTTCACAAAATTTTTGCATTTCACTAAAATATTTTTGCATTTTCACAAAAATATTTTCAGGAAATTTTCGCATTTTGCATTTTCGCAAAATTATGTTCAGTGGAAACCCTACATGCAATTAAAGAAATTTTAAGACAATACTAAAGGTAAAGATAATTATAAGATTCTGAAACAAATGATATTATTTTATCATTGTTATCTGCTGCTATTTGAAATTGTCATAAACATTTGATTTTTTACACTGATTTTTTCTTCCTGCAGGGCCAATGATAGGACCAGGCATTGTTATACAGATTTGGGGCTTTCTGAGAGTCTATGAAGCAGGAATCCTCAAAAGCAGACCAACCAGTTGGACATGCTAAACAATCATGATTTATGGTGATTCAAATCTTAAAGGGAGTGTTTGGCTAGACATGGTAGTTGAGCTGAGAGCTGAGAAGTTTTTTATAGATCATTTTAGACCTGTAAAACGTTTGTGCTGTGTAAAATTGCTAAGTAAGAGCACAAAATCGATTTTTAAAATTGATTTTGTGCTCTTACTTAGCAACTATACATCGTACAAATGTCTTATAGGCCTCAGAGGATTTATAATCAAGGATGATTAAATATAGATATGATAAAGCTGTATAATTTTCAGGTGTTGTGAAAATTTAAAGCAGCACCATCTCTGTTGTACTCATGGCATTTTATCCTGTGGATTGTTGATGATTTATCACTTTGTTTATGTGTGATAACACTAATTGTGTGCTATAGTATCAACCAAGGTAATACTAATAATAAGGTACAATTGATACGATGTTTGAAATGAAAAGATTATCAGAATATATTCATTTTGCCCATTCTCACCATGAAACACAAGACAAATGCATTTTAAGAGGAGTATTGTGACAAAAATCAGTCACCCCCCCCTGACCCCCAAAAATACCCCACTGTGTGGCACTGGAAGCAGGGGGGAGAATGGAAAATAGAAAGTTATCAATTTTTTATATGGCCCATCCTCCTCAACTCCCCTTTCCCTTCCCTTCCCCCATCTCTTCTCTTCCTTTTTCTTGTTCCACCTTTTCTTTCCCATTTCCCCTGTCTCTTGTTTCAATTGTTCTTAGGGGTAGAAATATGAGTTGTCTGCTACAAGCAATCTAATCAGGAGCTGTTTCTACCTGCTAGCTCATATATAAATATAATATCGTTGTTTATAACATTCTCTACAATTCTGCATTCTCAGCTCAACTATCATGCCTAGCCAGACACTCACTTTAAATAAAGGTGTAATTTTGAACATGACTGTACCTGGTAACATATTCTTGAAGTGAGTTTTTCTCTTAGTTCCCCTGTATACAGTAGTATCCCCAGTTCCTGCACAGGTCAGGGATTCTGTCCAGGGAGCAGGAGGAGGAGACTTCTTCCAATCATTGTCATCTAGTATGTTGGTCTGACTATCATCACATTCAAGAACAAACATAAGCATAGCATGTGTTGGAACATAGTACTCCTGAGTTACCTACAAAGTACAAATTCATTGTTAACCCTATCCCTGCTGGGGTTCTTGAAAACCAGGATATGCTGGGGGGGGGGGGTCAATTTGACCCCCCCTCTAAATCCCATGTTTGATGTCCAAATATGACAAATGATACATCATTAGAAAGCTCTTGTGCTCTACTTTCAGAATCTTCAAAAAAATTTGCAAATTTGCAAAAATTGAATTTTTTATCGCAAAATCCAGTTATATAGTAAAATGTTTGCAAAAAAATTTTTTCTCCAAAAAATGAAAAATTATACATTTTTGAAAAGCCCTTTACCATGCCATTTCAAAAATGCAAAAATTTTTGCAAAATTTTAAATAACCTGATTTTTAATCAAGAAAAACTAAAAATGTGCAAATTTCCTTTGACAGGTTGTTTGCAAAAAATTTGCAATTTTGTTTTCGCAAAACTTGTGCAATACGTTTCCTTATGTCATAGGCTTTCCAAAAAGCTAAATTTTATCAAAATCTGACAAGTGAAAGTGGGTCAAAACAAAGATTTAGTTTGTTACAGGCAAAAGCAGTCATTTAGGCAGTTGCCTGAGGACTCAGGCAGTTAGTATTAAAGCCCAGTTTTAGGCCTAAAGGGAGGGCTTTGGGTATGTAAGAAAAGTTAGAAAATTTCAACAGTCTCAGACCAATACTTTTTGAGTTAATGAGGTTATTTTTACTCAAATTTTCTAATGTTTTCTACCTGTCTAAGAAGTCTTCCCTTCAGTTTGATATAAGGAAAGAACAGGCAGGTGGTAGTATCGCTAAAGAACATATCACAGGCTGGAGATTGAAGGCATCTCCTTGCACACTCTTCTCGAGTAGCTATAGTGTAAACACGAAATTCTCCAACACGGTGGTTGTGAACTAAACAATATACAGTTTGTTTTTAATCTTTGTGAAGAAACAATCTCAAGAACTGACGAGGGTCAACCCAGACCGAAATAGATTTTCAATAAATGTGGAACTAACATCTACTTTTTTACTCTACAGAGGTTTGGTCCATCACCATCACTGAATTTTAAATATACAGTTAATCTTGGTTCTCCTCCTTTAAAAGTCTTTAATTTTTCCAAGTGAGGAATCTCATATTCTTTTTAATAATTTAAATTTTAATTATAGAAGAGCATTAGGGATTGTGCTTTATAACAGAAAAAGTAACAATGTACATCTGTAAACAAATCAAACCTGCATCATAGTTGATACATCCAGGACAGGAACAATCCGTTCCACATTGATTAGAAGCAGAACAGCATCTATTAGTAGAGGATCTATCACATCCAGCTGGAATATCTGTACCTGGTGCAGGATATCCTTCACCACATCGACCATCCAGACGCAGTAGTTCTACAAATTTATCACACTTTAACGGATCGTAAGTGTAACTTCAAGTTAGATCTTCCAGTTAAATACTGTGTATAAATCTGCAGTGTGTTTTAGCCTACTGTGTGTCATGTGATCTCAAAGTGATTGACGTCACAGTATTCCAAAAATTAGAATATTGACATTCTCCAACTTTTAGAAAGTAAATGTCAATATTGCTTAAATATAAGACAGTTTGAAAAGTGTTAAACAATTAAATTTTCTGTAGATAAATAATTGGTTTTTAGGGTACTGTTGTGAATCTGGGATACCCCTCTTCGAGTGTAAGGTCACTTTAAATTACACTTACAGTCCCAATGCCAATTGTCCTTTGATGTGCAGTTCCAAAAGTAATTAATCCAACATGTGTAAAGAATGTGCTAAAACAATGGTAAAAACACATGTCTGTCAAATGGTAATATCGTCTTCAACTCCTCTTCTAATATCCTCATATACAACTTCTCTTAAGAATAAATGATTTTACTGAACAAATGGTTAGAGATATATATATAACTGTAATTTGCAGATATCAAAGAAATCACTTCTCAAAAATTCCTAATCCCAATAATTGCACTAATATCTTAAAGATTTACTAGAGTTTAAGTTCTATTGTTAAAATTTTAAAATGTATATAATCAACTTATATTTTATACCTAGCTCCCCTAGTTGTAAAATACTTGCATCAGCCACAGATATATAGAGAAAGTCCATGCTTAAATAGTATAAAACATATAAAATCTAGACAAAAAAAAATAATTTTAAAATCACATATTACTGGCTGGGATTTTTTAAGTGGTTAAAAACAAAAAATATTTTCGAGTAAGGATTGTTAAAGTAAGGATTGTTTAGTTTATAAACAATCTCATCTTCTATATATCTAAAGTATATTTTATAGTAATCTCTGTTTGTTTGTTTATCCGATCATAACTCAGAAACCCTCTGACCAATCTGCCTAAAATTTGATAAACCCTAAAAATAATTGATATTGAAGCAGTACTTCGTTTAAATGTCATAAAATAAATTTAACACGGGAAACTTGCTTTCTATGCAAACCTGTGGCCGAATTTAAAGAATTTGAGCGGTGGTTTATATTTAAGGTGGCTTAAATATGGTGGTTCCACTTAAAATTGTATCAAATGTTTCACGATTTAAGCCGGCGCTTAATTTAAACCGGGTTTTGACAGATTTAAACCACGGCTCAAGTTCTTTAAATTCCATCTCCGGGTTCTCAAGCTAGATGATAATAAAACAAAGAAATAGTTTAAAAAACTGCCTTTCCCTTTCCCTAGGGCTAAGAGAATAATGCCTTAAAGGGAGTGTTCGCGAAAAATGAAAGGGGGTATAGGCTTAATGCGATAAAAAAGCGCTTTTGATCGCTACTAATCTTACTTCTATCTGTTGCGTCTATAAGGAGAAAATTGATAAAGACGTCTCATACCGAAGAGCGTATCGCCCATACAAATTGAGGAAGTTGGAACATACGACTTAGACCGTAAAAAAATCAAATTAATATCAAACAAATCATTCAGATATTACAACCTATGGTCATCGATTATTTTTCGCCACATTTGTCTATATTTAATATTTCATACTAGTTTTGATTTTGTTTTTTAAAATAATACTTAGCTTACAACTTGTTTTCGAACATTCCTGGAAAATATGAAAATGTCGTCTTCATTACCAAAAATCCTCGAAACAAGAATAAACGTTTTTATAAGTAACTCTCAGATCATAACAATTAAATTATATTATGAAAAATTACTTTATATAAATGTGGCGAAAGATAATCGATGACTATAGGTTGTAATATCTGAATGATTTGTTTGAAATTAAATTGATTTTTTACGGTGTAAATCGTATGTTGCAATTTTCTCAATTTGTATGGACGCCATGTTATTCGGTATGAGACGTCTTTAACAATTTTCTCTTTATAGACGCAACAGATAGAAGTAAGATTATTGGCGATCAAAAGCGCTTTTTTATCGCATTAAGCCTATACCCCCTTTCATTTTTCGCGAACACTTCCTTTAAATGCACAATACACAATACTCATTGGTTGTTTAGAAATAATGTGTTTCTAATTTGGCCCTGTTTAAAGAGAGTGATACATGTCAAAGCTGTTTTATCATTGATCCGACCCAGCTAAAATAGTAATTTAAATTGATTGATCGCCAATCTCTTTTTCATACTTTTGCTGTGATAATAAAGATTTATGTCTTTGCAAATGTCTGAAACAAAAGTAATCAAAGCCTGCAAAATCTTGCAAAATCAAAAATCTAATTCTAGCTTGAAGGAATTCTATTTTTAAAACATTGCTCTTCAATGGTCGGATTTTATTGTAACAATTTTTGCTTTAATATATTTTAATATGTCGTGTTGATAACTATGGTTGCACTCGTGTGAATGTATTGCGAATAAAGCTTTAAATTCCAATAGGAAGTAATGTAGGCAAAACATATCTGAACTAAATTATTTCCAAACAATCTTAAGAATTAAAAAAAAATTACTTTATCAGAGTCCGAATTTAATGAATTTGAGCCGTGTTTCAAATCCGCCAAAAACCGGTGTCAATTTAGCGCCGGCTTAAATCTTGAAACATTGAATACAATTTTAAGTGGAATTAACCATTTTTAAGAAGTGTCTTAAACTTAAGCGGCGGCTCAAATTCTTAAAATTCAACCTCATTTTTCCTAAATCTAGCATCATTAAATCGTGATCTCTTGTATTTAACTTAAATTCTTATGATTAAAAAATCTGAAAAGGCGCGAACTTTAGCACAAGAAAATTAGATATCAGATATTTATTCTAATCAACTTAGCTATTTAAATGTATTCATTTAATTTGGTCTTGGTATTCGATGATAACTCCTTGGTTTCCTTGAGGTTTTAAATTTCGATTTTTAACCTTGTCGGAACAATTTAATTGTCATTTAAATCCAAGGATTTTTTAATCGACAAAACTTTCCAAACTTAGGAATAGAAATATCTTAAACCAATCTTAAAATTCAGTTGTTAAAAACTTGCAGTATGAAAACTATCTATATAGTTGTTTCAGTCAATTGAAATTTAAAAATTTTGCTGAAACTGTCTGTAAATTATATTGCAAATGAATAAGTAAACTATGTTTAAAGGAAAAGGATCAAATTTGACACAATTGTCCTGATGTTAATAGATCCTACCTTAACCAGTTTGGTCGACATTTACGCTTGGTGTTAGAATATCCTGGAGGTCCTGAACCAAGCAGATCAAACTCCTGAAGTAAACACAATGCTAAAGATCTATTTTATTTTGATCCGGATCCGGATTCGGATCTGTATCCGTCTTATGCATTCGGATCCAGCGTATAGACTTTCTATAAAAGACTATAAGCGTAATTTCAAGTGACCCTCCATGAAAAGATATATCAATGCTCGATGTACAGTTCGGTACCTTTGAGAGCTTAATCTGATAAAAAATGGGGCAGATAGCGTCGTTTTTCTGACTCAAACATTGTTTAAGTTTGAGAATTTCTCCATTATTTTTTATATAAAAGAAACTTTTGCACAATCCGCAAAAAAATAAAGAAAACATGGATCTTATCCAAACTTTATCAAACAAAGCTTTCCAGGGTACTGTTGTAAATCAGGCCTTGCTATCTTTGCATAAAGAGGGTCACTTAAAAATAAACTTACAGTCCCTTTAAGAACTACTGATTTCTTTCTGTTTTTAATGTGTATAATGATACCTTTAAATAATCCAAGGATCGCATTGAAAGATTAACCGGTAGGCCAGTATCCCCCAATTCTTCCATGTCATAGTTATCGTCAATTATCCTAATTAAAAAAAAAGTTTTAAAGGGAGCGCCAAAGAGGATTTTAAAGATCAATTTCGCGGAGCTACTTAGCAATTATACACCGTAAAACGTCTAACAGGCCTCAAATCATTTAATTATTTTAAAAAAAGTTCTTTATAAAATAATCCATTCTTAGCTCAACTGCCATGTATTGAAATCTTTTAATCTCTCATTCCAAATCCGCCAAGAAAAAGTACAAAAGACTTCATAGTTATAAATTGATAAATATTTAAGATACATTATAGTTAAAGTTATAAAATAGCGAATATCACGATTAGAGGGACTGTTAAAGGAATATCGACTGAACCCTAAAGCCAATGTTGTGTCTTGAAACTTTAAAGGAATTGAGTTTTTGCCGCTAACTTAAATTTTCTAATTCCTAAATCTTTGCAAAATGATGACGTAAGCCTTTGATAGTTCAAACTATGAATTCTGTTAGACAGAATAATCTAAGTTTGTAATATCATAGGTTTACGCTATCAGGTTGAACAGATATAGGAATTTGAAATTTTGAGTTTGTGACAAAAACTCAGTTCCTTACGTTTCTTTTTGATTAAAACAAAAACAAAGAATTAGTAGAATTCATAATAAGCATACTTTTTTGGCTACTACTATGACCCAGACTTTGCCTGGAAAAAATGTCGACATTATTTTACTTTAAAGTTTCAACAATTTAACGAGAAATGTTTTTGATTATTGCAGGGAACGATAAAACAAGAACTGTAATCTAAAATTTTTATTAGAAAATTGTTTTAACATCTTGATGTTCAAGTTCAAGATTGATTATAATTCGTTCGTTCAAACAAACTTGAACAAACTATCGTTTTTTATTGAACGAACACATTTTCCGAAAGATTTAAAAAGAGATCTTATTTTACTAAACAAACGATTTATTAAACGAATTTTTAAAAAATGCTTAATGAACAAACGGTTTTTTCGAACACACTTTTGAGATAACTCGCGTTTTTTTACTGAAAGAAAGATTTTATTGAACGAAAGGTTTTACTGAGCAATCATTCAGTAACAAAACAAACGTAATACATGGAAACGATAATCATGAGAACAAAATAAATCTATTGTTTTGACAAATTGAAAAAAAAACGAACAAAATGGGTCGTTCAGGAACAATAAACGACCGAAATAAAAAAAACTTTAAATCCACAAATCATATATTTGAATTTTTCCCCCATGATAAAAAATTAAGATTGTTATCCCATGGGGATTTTAAAATCGAGAGTAAAAGTTGGGTAACAATCTTCTATCTACCTATCTGTCCTATAGCCAGCTTCCCAGGGGGAGAAATGAAAATTAGCTCCCTCCCCCTCCCCCACCATGAAGAGAAGTAGGAAGAGAAAACCTAGCATTATCGTTCTAACTGAAAAAAAAAATATTTATATATCTATTAATGGAAGGATTTCCAATCAGAATTCCGTTGTGCAGACTGCGCGCAAGTGTTATCGTATTGCGCGGAATTGCGCGGAAATTACAGGGTCTGCAATTGCACGCAAGTAAAATCCACTTGCATAATGCATTGTTGATGATACACCGACATATGGTCAAACGACCTAGGGTCAGATGCTATAGGGTCAAACAACATAGGTTAAAACAACCAAGGGCCAAACGACAAATGGTCAAAAACGCAACAAAGGTGTAAAACGAAATAGGGTCAAAAAGTGCAACAAACGGTCAAAATTTCATCCAGACTATTTTTGGTTAATTTGAACTATTTTTTATGTTCATTAGAACTAGTAGCCGCAGCGCTCGGCCCCCAAGCCGTCCTAGGTGCAGCACTTGGCCAAGAAATTGTATTAACATAACCTATCCCTGAAATAATGCATATTTTATGTTATGTTTCTGTTCATTTGAACTACAAGTCACAGCGCTTGGCCCCCATAGCCTGTCCTAGCCACAGCGCTGCTCCAAAAAATTGTCTTAACCTAAACTAACCCTGAAATACCACATAACATATTTTTTTCCATTTAGACCATTTGTGGTGCGTTTTTGATCGTTTGTAGTTTGATCCTATGTCGTTAGACCCTAGGCAGTTTGTCCTTATGTCGTTTGACCCTAGATCATTTGACTCTATGTCGTTTGACCCTGGGTCGTTTGACCCTAAGTTGTTTTGACCCTATGGGGTTTGACCCTATAAGTCGTTTGACCATATGTCGGTGAAACTAATCGATGGCCAATAACTTGGCGGATTTTTTTTACTTTGGGACCGTTTTTATTTGGGAAATTTCATGGTAAACTAAACAGCCTGCTAGCTATTCATTGGTATTAGTCATACTTTTCAGACAACTGTGGCCGGAGAAAAAGCCGATTTATCATTCAGAATTCCAGTGCAAAGGTTTGATACCTTTACATAGACACTATTTATTGATTTTTGTCATAGTCATGGATGTTCAAAGGGACCGTTTATTTATTCGGGTAATTTCATGGTAAACTAGACAGTGCCTATTAGATGTCAATTCGGTGAAATATCGTTTGCACTAACGTACATTCGTACTAACGTTCATTCGGACTAATGTTCATTCACACTATAGTGCGAATGAACACGTGGAGAATTATCTTTTTAAATTCTAGCGAAATTCGGCTTATTTAATTAATTAGCTCCATTGAACATATTTTAGTAGGAATGAACAAGAAATGTTCAATTGTACTAAAATCTAAAATTTTACCATTTTCCAAATTTACCTTAAATAGTACAAATGAACATATTCTAGTGAAATGAGACTCAAAGAAGTTCGTAGTAAGATTTTGATTCTACTGGAGACCACCGGAGGGATTTTATTTTCACTGGAGGGGTTTCAAAAAATGCTTTTTACAATTTAAAACTTTACGCAGGGTGATTCACATTCCACTGGAGGGATTCAGTTATAATTCCAAGGGGTATATAATTCCACTGGAGGGATTCAGGTATCCTTCCTGGGGGTTTAAAATTCCACTGGAGGGATTCAGTTATCCTTCCAAGGGGTTTATAATTCCACTGGAGGGATTTAGATATCTTTCCTAGGGGTTTATAATTCCACTGGAGGGATTCAGATATTTTTCCGAGGGGTTAAAAATCTACTGGAGGGATTAGGTTACCCTTCCTAGGAGTTTAAAATTCCACTGGAGGGATTCAGATATCCTTCCTGGGGGTTTATAATT